AAAGGGGTTTATAGTTCCATGGTCTAGTCAAAACATCAGCTAAAATCTTAGCCAGTACTTCATGTAGCATGAACACTATTATTGTACAGCATTATAATACCGTGAACAAACAAACATGCCATTCACTGCTAAGTCAGCTAGCTACACACATGGAGCTCTATGCTAGGACCCCCCCCCCCCCCCATATAACTTACTGAACCACCCAACACCGTTTTGTACACATGCAGTAGTCGTGGAATATTTTCACAGATAATTTTCATATCACATTAAACCATTCATAATAGAGAAAATAGCAAAATATAAAAATAAAGCAGAGCATCATGGGTATTTTTTAGTTGACTGTGTCTTAGCCACTTTAAAATCACCTTCCATCAACCCTTCAACATAAACTTCTACAGTTTATAACACATGTTATGAAAAGTTACTGGTTAAGTATTTCAATTTAAAATGTTATAGTTTGGGTGTATTTGAAGACTAAACTTTAGTTTTTTGTCATTATTAAAATGGGAATTTTGTTTATGTTTATAACCCCACTCATAAAGACAGCCTCATTTTCGGATTAATAACTCGCTGTTTATGTGACTTTTTGGAGTAACTCCCTGTGACTTTTTGGAGTAACTGAGTATTTTTGGGGTTGCACCCTTTTCGAAGGTTCAGTAGTGAATGTCTTGTTTGTTTGTTCAAGGTATTAAAATGCTGGACATTGCCTTTATAAGAACAGGATGTAGTACAGAGTCTCATTGTCAGTCCATTTTTATCTCAAGAATAATGTCACAGAATGTGCTTGTATTGATTGTCAAGTTTAGTATAGTTATGAATAAGAATAGTTATGAATATAATAGTTAAATTTTCAAATGGACATCAAGTACAATGGTATTTTGGGTGATTAGCCTGGGCTCAATGTTTGCACACACTTCATTAGCACCCGTGATAAGGGTCTAGACCGAATTTTGAAAACGAGTCATCTTCTATGTTCAATAACCTATTGCATTATACTACTAGTATATATTATTAAGTCAACAGTATCAAGTGCATGATTTGTTGTGATTTTAAAAACAAATTAACCCAAAACGTCATATTTTTTCAAGATAGACAGCTCGTTCTTAATGAGAAACGAGAAAGATACTTAACAAAAACACTAAAATCTATCATTTATTATTTGCTATAGTTATTTTGTTATTTTGTTTTTTAATATCTTACTTTTG